TCTACCCTGTTTTTCATTTTTTTCCAAAAAGTGGTGTTCCTTCGTAAGCTATTGAAAACAGTATTAATTTAATTGATTTACATGAGTCAAGTTTTCCCACATTGGGGGTATATTGAGGCAGGTGTTTCAGGGAGTGGCCTGGGGGTATATTAAGGCAGGTGCTTCAATAAGCCTGGGGGCTTATTGAGGCAGGTGTTTCAGAGAGTGGCCTGGGGATATATTGAGGCAGGTGTTTCAGGGAGTGGCCTTGGGGTATATTGAGGCAGGTGTTTTAGGGAGTGGCCTTGGGGTATTTTTAGGCAGGTGTTTCAGGGAGTTGCCTGGAGACATATTGAGGCAGGTGTTTCAGGGAGTGGCCTGGGGGTATATTGAGGCAGGTGTTTCAAGGAGTTGCTTGGAGACATATTGAGGCAGGTGTTTCAGGGAGTGGCCTGGGGGTATATTGAGGCAGGTGTTTCAGGGAGTGGCCTGGGGGAATATTGAGGCAGGTGTTTCAGGGTGTGGCTTGGGGTACATTGAGGCAGGTGTTTCAGGGAGTTGCCTGGGGGTATATTGAGGCAGGTGTTTCAGGGAGTGGCCTGGGGGTATATTGAGGCAGGTGTTTCAGGGAGTGGCTTGGGGGTATATTAAGGCAGGTGTTTCAGGGCTGACTGGGGACTGGGGGCATATTGAGCCAGGTGTTTCAGGGGGAGTGGCCTGGGGGTATATTGAGGCAGGTGTTTCAGGGTGTGGCTTGGGGGTATATTAAGGCAGGTGTTTCAGGGCTGACTGGGGGCATATTGAGCCAGGTGTTTGAGGGAGTGGCCTGGGGGGCTTATTGAGGCAGGTGTTTCAGGGAGTGGCCTGGGGGTATATTAAGGCAGGTGTTTCAATAAGCCTGGGGGCTTATTGAGGCAGGTGTTTCAGGGAGTGGACTGGGGGCATATTGAGCCAGGTGTTTCAGAGCGTGGCCTGGGGGTATGTTACAAATCCATATATTTGATTCTAACATTTATCATGATAAACATGTATGTCCATTATTTCTTTCCTCAGTTATTTAAATTAAACATTGTATCCAGTTGTTTTCCAGTATATATATATGTTTGATTTATATGTTGCATGCTGTAGTGTGCCTGTATGTAATATTTTGCTAATGCTATTGCATGTTCATTCCTGTGGGAGACCGTGGCATCTCATGGGGGGGATGACCATATGTGTGATGTTCCAGTAATGCGTGCAGCATATCAAGCTAGCGTCACTGATTCACCCTTGTAATCGTTCCTGTTTATTGATGGTACTTAATTTCTTAATTACACCTTAGCAGTGTTATATGCATATAAGTTTGGTTATAATTATGTTCTTAAGTATTAATCTCTGATAGCAGAGTATCTAGAGATTTCATGTGGTTTTTAGTTGGTAACCTGTATACTCCATGCCTGCATGCCTGCTGGAGCACGCCAGTCGCGTGGGTGGAGCTGGCTGGGGTGGACATGTTGTTGAAATAAGTCTGTGGTACCTGTTTATTGTTTAGTAACATAGCTAATTGCCTGGTTAGACCATTATTTGCATACCCATCTATTCATTAAAGTTTTAAAATAGTGATCAGTGCTTATATATTGATATTGTGTTATTGTTTCCTGGTGCATTAATATTTCTGGCTGCCTGTATTTTCATTTATATTTTTGTATGTTCTTTGTTACCCTTACTTTAAGTATATTGCTTTGTTGAGTAAGTAGTTGAATTATTTAACCTAGACACTTTTAGTAGGCAAGGCCGTATTATTATATATGTTTTACAACTGCAGAAGCAGAGGAACCATACCCAGAGGACAAGGGTCATAACAGGGTATATTGAGACAGGTGTTTCAGGGAGTGGCCTGGGGGCATATTGAGGCAGGTGTTTCAGCGAGTGGCCTGGGGGCATATTGAGCCAGGTGTTTCAGGGAGTGGCCTTTGGGGTATATTGAGGCAGGTGTTTCAGGGAGTGGCCTTTGGGGTATATTGAGGCAGGTGTTTCAGCGAGTGGCCTTTGGGGTATATTGAGGCAGGTGTTTCAGCGAGTGGCCTTTGGGGTATATTGAGGCAGGTGTTTCAGCGAGTGGCCTTTGGGGTATATTGAGGCAGGTGTTTCAGCGAGTGGCCTTTGGGGTATATTGAGGCAGGTGTTTCAGGGAGTGGCCTTTGGGGTATATTGAGGCAGGTGTTTCAGGGAGTGGCCTGGGGGCATATTGAGGCAGGTGTTTCAGGGAGTAGCCTGGGGGGCATATTGAGGCAGGTGTTTCAGGGAGTGGAATGGGGTATATTGAGGCAGGTGTTTCAGGGAGTGGCCTTTGGGGTATATTGAGGCAGGTGTTTCAGGGAGTAGCCTGGGGGCATATTGAGGCAGGTGTTTTAAAGAGTGGTCTGGGGGTATATTGAAGCACGTGTTTTAAAGAGTGGCATGGGGACATATTGATAAGGATGTCTCGGCTGGTCCACAGCTGTGTACACATATTAGAAGGATAAGGAACAGAGGTCTGATGAATAGTTTGATATGAACACGGAACTAAAGATTATGATTTGTTTAACGGCGTCTGAAAATTTATATTTATATAGATATGACAAAAAATATGTTAATGAATTATGTAGAGAAGTGAGGGAGAGAGGGAGGCAGATGTGAGGTGAGGTCGGAACAGGTGGAGCGAGGGATGGGGGGATGGAGGGTAGGGAGGGGGAGAGGCGGGCGATTAGATTAAGGTAAGACACCTGTTGGGTGACGTAGGATTGGTAGCGCCTGGCAGGGGTGGGAGGGTAGAGCTGGGTAGGGAGGGAGGGAGGGAGGGAGGGGGTGCTGGGTAAGGATGGAACAGGTGGAGCAGGAGGGTAGTGGGGGCGGGGGAGGGGTGGGAGGGATGATTAGATTATATTACGGTGGAGACACCTGGCCCGGTTAGGATCAGTGGAGGGGGGGGGGGGGCAGGGGGAGTGTTTTAAGTAAATGTTTTAATAAATTTTACTTCAGACTTCAGTTGAAAATATCAGTTTATGACGGTAGAGTTTATTTTCAATAAGACTGGAGCTAGTAATAAAAAAGAAAAGAAAGCAAGTACTTTTATTCTGAATTTTATGCTATAACAATTTCTTAACAAACTTCTATGACAATAATTTCTGAAAATGGGCTTTTGAAAAATTTTGGTCCTAAACTTTGAAAATATTTTGAATTTATCCAATAAGAAACATTTAAGTCCGAATGAGGCACTTTTGTCTTGATTTTCCCCCATAAGAAACCTTTAACTCCATATGGACAATATTTGAAAAAAACAAATATAGTCCAAAAGCTGTTATTCCCACTACTATCGATGGTGGTGGAAGTGGTCGATGTAGTGGTGGTAGTTGTCGATGTAGTGGTGGTAGTTGTCAATGTAGTGGTGGTAGTTGTCGATGTAGTGGTGGTAGTTGTCGAAGTAGTGGTGGTAGTTGTCGAAGTAGTGGTGGTAGTTGTCGAAGTAGTGGTGGTAGTTGTCGATTTAGTGGTATTACGACCAGCAGTGCTGGTGGTAATAGTTGTCGTTGTAGTGGTGGAAATGGTCGATGTAGTGGTCTATGAAGAGCTGGTAGTGGTAGTGGTGGGTGCAGTACTGGTAGTGGTTGATGTACTACTGGTGGTTTTAGTGGTCGATGTACTACTGGTGGTGGTAGTGGTCGATGTAACGGTAATAGTGGTCGATGTAATGGTGATAGTGGTCGATGCAGTGCTTTTTTTTTTTTTTTTTTTTTTTTTTTTTTAGCAGGGAAATTCCTTCGCGGGCTCTATGCCTCTGGCGGGCCCACTAAGTGTTGCTTTTTCCTGTTTTACTTGGGCGGAGTATGAATATTTATGACTCATATGGTCGCTTCAGTAAACTTTTGTCCCATGTGTTTAACAACTTCTGCTGCTCTGTTGAATCTTAGTTGAAATCTTAATGAGTTTGTAACTGTGCACTGTGTTAGATACTGTTTCAGTGTCTGTTGAGCTTTTCTCTACAGTGTTGACATTTCCTTTCATCTTCCGGAACCTGTAAGACTATTTCCCATGCACATGGGTATCCAAGCATGATGCAATGTAAGTATACGTCTGTTGCTCTACTTCTCCCTTTCATCAAAATAAGCTGTTCTTAGTTGGTTGACTTCTTGTACCAACTCACAGATCCCGATGTTGCAACTGCTGTGTTATAGTCAATGTACATCATCTGCATTGCTTTATTTCTAATTACTTTTTTAATCTGTGATAGACTCTGTCGTATATGATGTAATGCTCTAAGTTGTCGATGTAGAAATATAGACATATATATATGACTATATTTCTACGCTTAGTTGCATGTTTTGCACCTTCGTCTGCAATGTCATTTCCTAGTATTCCCACATGACTTGGCACCCGGTAGATAAGTACCCGACGGCCTTGACGTTTGAGTGCTGGTGTGCTGGTGATAATAGAGGTCAATGTAGTGCTTGTGGTGGAAGTGTTCGATGTAGTGGAGGAGGTGGTCCATGTAGTGGTGGTAGTTGTAGATGAAATGTTGGTGGAGGATGAAGTGGTGGTAGGTGTAGATGTAGTGGTGGTAGTTGTTGATGTAATAATTTTGGTGGTAGTGGTCGATGTAATACTTATAGTGGTAGATGTCGATGTAATACTTATGGTGGTAGATGTCGATGTAATGATTTTGGTGGTAATGGTCGATGGTGTCGATGTAGTGGTGGTAGTTGTCGATGTAGTGGTGGTAGTTGTCGATGTAGTGGTGGTAGTTGTCGATGTAGTGGTAGCAGTTGTCGATGTAATGCTTGTGGTGGTAGTGGTCGATGCAGTGCTGATAGTGGTAGTGGTCTATACAGTGCTGGTAATGGTAGTAGTCGATGTAGTGCTGGTAGTTGTAGTCGTCAATGTATTGTTGAAAATGGTCAATGTGCTGGTGATTGTAGTCGATGTAATGGTTGTAGTGGTCGATGTTGGTTTGGATAAAGTGTTAGTGATAGTAGTTGTGGATTAAGGCCTTGTTGTTGTAGCGGTTATCGTTGTGTTGTGAGGTGTCTTGGTACAGCAGACACAACCTGGTGTACACGGGGACGTATCAAAATTGTTTCCACATTTAATGGCTGCCATCTCTTTGGGAAAACATTTGGTTGTGCATCTTTTCCTACCATGAGTAAAATGGTGTTCATCACTGTTTATAAAGTGGCAGGCTTTATGTGTGGTACTAGTTGTCGAAGTAGTTGTAATTGTGGTAGTTGTCGAAATAATACTTGTTGGGTTTGCTGTTGATATGGTGGTTGTAGTAGTCGCAGTAGTGGTCGATGTAGTGCTGGTGGTTGTCGTTGTCGATTTAGTACTAGGGGTAGTAGTGGTCGATGAGGTGGTGGTGGTAGAAGTGGTCGATGTAGTGCTGGTAGTGGTCGATGTAGTGCTGGTAGTGGTCGATGTATTGCTGGTAGTGATCGATGTAGTGCTGGTAGTGGTCGATGTAGTGCTGGTAGGGGTCGATGTAGTGCTGGTAGTGGTCGATGTACTGGTAGATGAAGTGCTAGTGATAGTAGTGGTGGGTTCAAGGCTGGTTGTGGTAGTGGTTGTTGTTGTGTTGTGAGGTGTCTTGGTACAGCAGACACAACCATGTGTACACGGGGACGTATCAAAATTGTTTCCACATTTAATGGCTGCCATCTCTTTGGGAAAACATTTGGTTGTGCATCTTTTCCTACCATGAATAAAATGGTGTTCGTGACTATTGATAAAATGACACATTTTATGTGTGGTACTAGTTGTCGAAGTAGTTGTGGTTGTGGTAGTTGTCGAAGTAGTACTTGTTGGGATTGTTGTTGATATGGTGGTTGTAGTGGTCGCAGAAGTGGTCGATGTTGTGCTGGTGGTTGAAGTGGTTGATGTTGTGCTAGGGGTAGTAGTGGTCGATGAGGTGCTGGTGGTGGAAGTGGTCGACGTAGTGCTGGTAGTGGTCGATGTAGTGCTGGTAGTGGTCGATGTAGTGCTGGTAGTGGTCGATGTAGTGTTAGTAGTGGTCAATGTAGTGCTGGTAGTGGTCGATGTTGTGCTGGTGGTTGAAGTGGTTGATGTTGTGCTAGGGGTAGTAGTGGTCGATGAGGTGCTGGTGGTGGAAGTGATCGATGTAGTGCTGGTAGTGGTCGATGTAGTGCTGGTAGTGGTCGATATAGTGTTAGTAGTGGTCGATGTAGTGCTGGTAGTGGTTGATGTAGTGCTGGTAGTGGTCGATGTAGTGCTGGTAGTGGTCGATGTAGTGCCGGTAGTGGTCGATGTAGTGCTGGTAGTTGTCGTTGTCGATTTAGTACTAGCGGTAGTAGTGGTCGATGAGGTGGTGGTCGTAGAAGTGGTCGATGTAGTGCTGGTAGTGGTCGATGTAATGCTGGTAGTGGTCGATGTAGTGCTGGTAGTGGTCGATGTAGTGTTAGTAGTGGTCGATGTAGTGCTGGTGGTTGTCGTGGTCGATTTAGTACTAGGGGTAGTAGTGGTCGATGAGGTGGTGGTGGTAGAAGTGGTCGATGTAGTGCTGGTAGTGGTGGATGTAGTGCTGGTAGTGGTCGATGTAGTGCTGGTAGTGATCGATGTAGTGCTGGTAGTGGTCGATGTAGTGCTGGTAGTGGTCGATGTAGTGTTAGTAGTGGTCGATGCAGTGCTGGTAGTGGTCGATGTAGTGCTGGTAGTGGTCGATGTAGTGCTGGTAGTGGTCGATGTAGTGCTGGTAGTTGTCGTTGTCGATTTAGTACTAGCGGTAGTAGTGGTCGATGAGGTGGTGGTCGTAGAAGTGGTCGATGTAGTGCTGGTAGTGGTCGATGTGATGCTGGTAGTGGTCGATGTAGTGCTGGTAGTGGTCGATGTAGTGTTAGTAGTGGTCGATGTAGTGCTGGTGGTTGTCGTTGTCGATTTAGTACTAGGGGTAGTAGTGGTCGTTGAGGTGGTGGTGGTAGAAGTGGTCGATGTAGTGCTGGTAGTGGTGGATGTAGTGCTGGTAGTGGTCGATGTAGTGCTGGTAGTGATCGATGTAGTGCTGGTAGTGGTCGATGTAGTGCTGGTAGTGGTCGATGTAGTGTTAGTAGTGGTCGATGCAGTGCTGGTAGTGGTCGATGTAGTGCTGGTAGTGGTCGATGTAGTGCTGGTAGTGGTCGATGTAGTGCTGGTAGTGATCGATGTAGTGCTGGGAGTGGTCGATGCAGTGCTGGTAGTGGTCGATGTAGTGTTAGTAGTGGTCGATGTAGTGCTGGTAGTGGTCGATGTAGTGTTAGTAGTGGTCGATGTAGTGCTGGTAGTGGTCGATGTAGTGCTGGTAGTGGTCGATGTAGTGCTGGTAGTTGTCGTTGTCGATTTAGTACTAGGGGTAGTAGTGGTCGATGAGGTGGTGGTCGTAGAAGTGGTCGATGTAGTGCTGGTAGTGGTCGATGTAATGCTGGTAGTGGTCGATATAGTGCTGGTAGTGGTCGATGTACTGGAATATGAAGAGCTAGTGATAGTAGTGGTGGGTTCAAGGCTAGTTGTGGTAGTGGTTGTTGTTGTGTTGTGAGGTGTCTTGGTACAGCAGACACAACCTGGTGTGCACGAGGAGGAATCAATATTGTTTCCACATTTAATGGCTGCCATCTCTTTGGGAAAACATTTGGTTGTGCATCTTTTCCTACCATGAGTAAAATGGTGTTCATCACTGTTTATAAAGTGACACGCTTTACGTGTGGTACTAGTGGTCAAAGTAGTTGTAGTTGTGGTAGTTGTCGAAATAGTACTTGTTGCGTTTGTTGTTGATATGGTGGTTGTAGTGGTCGATGAGGTGGTGGTGGTAGAAGTCGTCGATGTATTGCTGGTAGTGGTCGATGTAGTGCTGGTAGTGGTCGATGTAGTGCTGGTAGTGGCCGATGTAGTGCTGGTAGTGGTCGATGTAGTGCTGGTAGTGGTCGATGTACTTGGAGATGAAATGCTTGTAATGGTAGTTGTGGGTTCAGGGCTGGTTGTGGTAGTAGTTGTCGTTGTATTGTGTTCTATCTTGGTACAGCAGACACAACCTGGTGTACACGGAGAGGAATCAAAATGGTTTCCACATTTAATGGCTGCCGTCTCTTTGGGAAAACATTTGGTTGTGCATCTTTTCCTACCATGAATAAAATGGTGTTCGTGACTATTGATAAAATGACACATTTTATGTGTGGTACTAGTGGTCGAAGTAGTTGTGGTTGTGGTAGTTGTCGAAGTAGTATTTGTTGGGCTTGTCTTTGATATGGTGGTTGTAGTGGTCGCAGAAGTGGTCGATGTTGTGCTGGTGGTTGAAGTGGTTGATGTTGTGCTAGGGGTAGTAGTGGTCGATGAGGTGCTGGTGGTGGAAGTGGTCGACGTAGTGCTGGTAGTGGTCGATGTAGTGCTGGTAGTGGTCGATGTAGTGTTAGTAGTGGTCAATGTAGTGCTGGTAGTGGTCGATGTTGTGCTGGTGGTTGAAGTGGTTGATGTTGTGCTAGGGGTAGTAGTGGTCGATGAGGTGCTGGTGGTGGAAGTGATCGATGTAGTGCTGGTAGTGGTCGATGTAGTGCTGGTAGTGGTCGATATAGTGTTAGTAGTGGTCGATGTAGTGCTGGTAGTGGTTGATGTAGTGCTGGTAGTGGTCGATGTAGTGCTGGTAGTGGTCGATGTAGTGCTGGTAGTGGTCGATGAAGTGCTGGTAGTGGTCGATATAGTGTTAGTAGTGGTCGATGTAGTGCTGGTAGTGGTTGATGTAGTGCTGGTAGTGGTCGATGTAGTGCTGGTAGTGGTCGATGTAGTGCTGGTAATGGTCGATGTAGTGCTGGTAGTTGTCGTTGTCGATTTAGTACTAGCGGTAGTAGTGGTCGATGAGGTGGTGGTCGTAGAAGTGGTCGATGTAGTGCTGGTAGTGGTCGATGTAATGCTGGTAGTGGTCGATGTAGTGCTGGTAGTGGTCGATGTAGTGTTAGTAGTGGTCGATGTAGTGCTGGTGGTTGTCGTTGTCGATTTAGTACTAGGGGTAGTAGTGGTCGATGAGGTGGTGGTGGTAGAAGTGGTCGATGTAGTGCTGGTAGTGGTGGATGTAGTGCTGGTAGTGGTCGATGTAGTGCTGGTAGTGATCGATGTAGTGCTGGTAGTGGTCGATGTAGTGCTGGTAGTGGTCGATGTAGTGTTAGTAGTGGTCGATGCAGTGCTGGTAGTGGTCGATGTAGTGCTGGTAGTGGTCGATGTAGTGCTGGTAGTGGTCGATGTAGTGCTGGTAGTTGTCGTTGTCGATTTAGTACTAGCGGTAGTAGTGGTCGATGAGGTGGTGGTCGTAGAAGTGGTCGATGTAGTGCTGGTAGTGGTCGATGTAATGCTGGTAGTGGTCGATGTAGTGCTGGTAGTGGTCGATGTAGTGTTAGTAGTGGTCGATGTAGTGCTGGTGGTTGTCGTTGTCGATTTAGTACTAGGGGTAGTAGTGGTCGATGAGGTGGTGGTGGTAGAAGTGGTCGATGTAGTGCTGGTAGTGGTGGATGTAGTGCTGGTAGTGGTCGATGTAGTGCTGGTAGTGATCGATGTAGTGCTGGTAGTGGTCGATGTAGTGCTGGTAGTGGTCGATGTAGTGTTAGTAGTGGTCGATGCAGTGCTGGTAGTGGTCGATGTAGTGCTGGTAGTGGTCGATGTGGTGCTGGTAGTGGTCGATGTAGTGCTGGTAGTGATCGATGTAGTGCTGGGAGTGGTCGATGCAGTGCTGGTAGTGGTCGATGTAGTGTTAGTAGTGGTCGATGTAGTGCTGGTAGTGGTCGATGTAGTGTTAGTAGTGGTCGATGTAGTGCTGGTAGTGGTCGATGTAGTGCTGGTAGTGGTCGATGTAGTGCTGGTAGTGGTCGATGTAGTGCTGGTAGTGGTCGATGTAGTGCTGGTAGTTGTCGTTGTCGATTTAGTACTAGGGGTAGTAGTGGTCGATGAGGTGGTGGTCGTAGAAGTGGTCGATGTAGTGCTGGTAGTGGTCGATGTAATGCTGGTAGTGGTCGATATAGTGCTGGTAGTGGTCGATGTAGTGCTGGTAGTGGTCGATGTAGTGCTGGTAGTGGTCGATGTAGTGCTGGTAGGGGTCGATATAGTGCTGGTAGTGGTCGATGTACTGGTAGATGAAGTGCTAGTGATAGTAGTGGTGGGTTCAAGGCTAGTTGTGGTAGTGGTTGTTGTTGTGTTGTGAGGTGTCTTGGTACAGCAGACACAACCTGGTGTGCACGAGGAGGAATCAATATTGTTTCCACATTTAATGGCTGCCATCTCTTTGGGAAAACATTTGGTTGTGCATCTTTTCCTACCATGAGTAAAATGGTGTTCATCACTGTTTATAAAGTGACACGCTTTACGTGTGGTACTAGTGGTCAAAGTAGTTGTAGTTGTGGTAGTTGTCGAAATAGTACTTGTTGGGTTTGTTGTTGATATGGTGGTTGTAGTGGTCGATGAGGTGGTGGTGGTAGAAGTCGTCGATGTATTGCTGGTAGTGGTCGATGTAGTGCTGGTAGTGGTCGATGTAGTGCTGGTAGTGGCCGATGTAGTGCTGGTAGTGGTCGATGTAGTGCTGGTAGTGGTCGATGTACTTGGAGATGAAGTGCTTGTAATGGTAGTTGTGGGTTCAGGGCTGGTTGTGGTAGTAGTTGTCGTTGTATTGTGTTCTATCTTGGTACAGCAGACACAACCTGGTGTACACGGAGAGGAATCAAAATGGTTTCCACATTTAATGGCTGCCGTTTCTTTGGGAAAACATTTGGTTGTGCATCTTTTCCTACCATGAATAAAATGGTGTTCGTGACTATTGATAAAATGACACATTTTATGTGTGGTACTAGTGGTCGAAGTAGTTGTGGTTGTGGTAGATGTCGAAGTAGTATTTGTTGGGCTTGTCTTTGATATGGTGGTTGTAGTGGTCGCAGAAGTGGTCGATGTTGTGCTGGTGGTTGAAGTGGTTGATGTTGTGCTAGGGGTAGTAGTGGTCGATGAGGTGCTGGTGGTGGAAGTGGTCGATGTAGTGCTGGTAGTGGTCGATGTAGTGCTGGTAGTGGTCGATGTAGTGCTGGTAGTGGTCGATGTAGTGTTTGTAGTGGTCGATGTAGTGCTGGTAGTGGTCGATGTTGTGCTGGTGGTTGAAGTGGCTGATGTTGTGCTAGGGGTAGTAGTGGTCGATGAGGTGCTGGTGGTGGAAGTGGTCGATGTAGTGCTGGTAGTGGTCGATGTAGTGCTGGTAGTGGTCGATATAGTGTTAGTAGTGGTCGATGTAGTGCTGGTAGTGGTCGATGTAGTGCTGGTAGTGGTCGATGTAGTGCTGGTAGTGGTCGATGTAGTGCTGGTAGTGGTCGATGTAGTGCTGGTAGTGGTCGATGTAGTGCTGGTAGTGGTCGATGTAGTGCTGGTAGTGGTCGATGTAGTGCTGGTAGTGGTCGATGTAGTGTTTGTAGTGGTCGATGTAGTGCTGGTAGTGGTCGATGCTGTGCTGGTGGTTGAAGTGGCTGATGTTGTGCTAGGGGTAGTAGTGGTCGATGAGGTGCTGGTGGTGGAAGTGGTCGATGTAGTGCTGGTAGTGGTCGATGTAGTGCTGGTAGTGGTCGATATAGTGTTAGTAGTGGTCGATGTAGTGCTGGTCGTGGTCGATGTAGTGCTGGTAGTGGTCGATGTAGTGCTGGTAGTGGTCGATGTAGTGCTGGTAGTGGTCGATGTAGTGCTGGTAGTGGTCGATGTAGAGCTGGTAGTTGTCGTTGTCGATTTAGTACTAGGGGTAGTAGTGGTCGATGAGGTGGTGGTAGTAGAAGTGGTCGATGTAGTGCTGGTAGTGGTCGATGTAATGCTGGTACTGGTCGATGTAGTGCTGGTAGTGGTCGATGTAGTGTTAATAGTGGTCGATGTAGTGCTGGTAGTGGTCGATGTACTGAAATATGAAGAGCTAGTGATAGTAGTGGTGGGTTCAAGGCTAGTTGTGGTAGTGGTTGTTGCTGTGTTGTGAGGTGTCTTGGTACAGCAGACACAACCTGGTGTACACGGGGACGTATCGAAATTGTTTCCACATTTAATGGCTGCCATCTCTTTGGGAAAACATTTGGTTGTGCATCTTTTCCTACCATGAGTAAATTGGTGTTCATCACTGTTAATAAAGTGACACGCTTTATGTGTGGTACTAGTGGTCGAAGTAGTTGTATTTGTGGTAGTTGTCGAAATAGTACTTGTTGCGTTTGTTGTTGATATGTTGGTTGTAGTGGTCGGAGTAGTGGTTGATGTAGTGCTGGTGGCTGTCGTTGTCGATGTAGTACTAGGGGTAGTAGTGGTCGATGAGGTGGTGGTGGTAGAAGTGGTCGATGTAGTGCTGGTAGTGGTCGATGTACTGCTGGTAGTGGTCGATGTAGTGCTGGTAGTGGTCGATGTAGTGCTGGTAGTGGTCGATGTAGTGCTGGTGTAGTGCTGGTAGTGCTGGTAGTAGTCGATGTAGTGCTGGTAGTTGTCGTTGTCGATTTAGTACTAGGGGTAGTAGTGGTCGATGAGGTGGTTGTCGTAGAAGTGGTCGATGTAGTGCTGGTAGTGGTCGATGTAGTGCTGGTAGTTGTCGTTGTCGATTTAGTACTAGGGGTAGTAGTGGTCGATGAGGTGGTGGTCGTAGAAGTGGTCGATGTAGTGCTGGTAGTGGTCGATGTAATGCTGGTAGTGGTCGATGTAGTGCTGGTAGTGGTCGATGTAGTGTTAGTAGTGGTCGATGTAGTGCTGGGAGTGGTCGATGTACTGGAATATGAAGAGCTAGTGATAGTAGTGGTGGGTTCAAGGCTGGTTGTGGTAGTGGTTGTTGTTGTGTTGTGAGGTGTCTTGGTAAAGCAGACACAACCTGGTGTACACGAGGAGGAATCAATATTGTTTCCACATTTAATGGCTGCCATCTCTTTGGGAAAACATTTGGTTGTGCATCTTTTCCTACCATGAGTAAAATGGTGTTCATCACTGTTAATAAAGTGACACGCTTTATGTGTGGTACTAGTGGTCGAAGTAGTTGTAGTTGTGGTAGTTGTCGAAATAGTACTTGTTGGGTTTGTTGTTGATATGGTGGTTGTAGTGGTCGCTGTAGTGCTGGTGGTTGTCGTTGTCGATGTAGTACTAGGGGTAGTAGTGGTCGATGAGGTGGTGGTGGTAGTAGTCGTCGATGTATTGCTGGTAGTGGTCGATGTAGTGCTGGTAGTGGTCGATGTAGTGCTGGTAGTGGTCGATGTAGTGCTGGTAGTGGCCGATGTAGTGCTGGTAGTGGTCGATGTAGTGCTGGTAGTGGTCGATGTAGTGCTGGTAGTTGTCGTTGTCGATTTAGTACTAGGGGTAGTAGTGGTCGATGAGGTGGTGGTCGTAGAAGTGGTCGATGTAGTGCTGCTAGTGGTCGATGTAATGCTGGTAGTGGTCGATGTAGTGCTGGTAGTGGTCGATGTAGTGCTGGTAGTGGCCGATGTAGTGCTGGTAGTGGTCGATGTACTTGGAGATGAAGTGCTTGTAATGGTAGTTGTGGGTTCAGGGCTGGTTGTGGTAGTAGTTGTCGTTGTATTGTGTTCTATCTTGGTACAGCAGACACAACCTGGTGTACACGGAGAGGAATCAAAATGGTTTCCACATTTAATGGCTGCCGTCTCTTTGGGAAAACATTTGGTTGTGCATCTTTTCCTACCATGACTAAAATGGTGTTCATCACTGTTTATAAAGTGACATGCTTTATGTGTGGTACTAGTGGTCGAAGTAATTGTAGTTGTGGTAGTTGACGAAATAGTACTTACTGGGTTTGTTGTTGATATGGTGGTTGTAGTGGTAGCAGTAGTGGTCGATGTAGTGCTGGTGGTTGTTGTTGTCGATGTAGTACTAGGAGTAGTAGTGGTCGATGAGGTGTTGGTTGTAGGTGTGGTCGATGTAGTGCTTGTAGTGGTCGATGTACTGGTAGATGAAGTGCTAGTGATAGTAGTGGTGGGTTCAAGGCCTGTTGTGGTAGTGGTTGTAGTTGTGTTGTGTGGTGTCTTGGTACAGCAGACACAACCATGTGTACACGGGGACGAATCAAAATTGTTTCCACATTTAATGGCTGCCATCTCTTTGGGAAAACATTTGGTTGTGCATCTTTTCCTACCATGAATAAAATGGTGTTCATCACTGTTTATAAAGTGACACGCTTTATGTGTGGTACTAGTGGTCGAAGTAGTTTTAGCTGTGGTAGTTGTCGATATAGTACTAGTTGGGGTTGTTTTTGGAATGGTGGTTGTAGTGGTCGATGTAGTGCTGGTGGTTGTCGTTGTCGATGTAGTACTATGGGTAGTAGTGGTCGATGAGGTGGTGGTGGTAGAAGTGGTCCATGTAGTGCTGGTAGTGGTCGATGTAGTGCTGGTAGTGGTCGATGTAGTGCTGGTAGTGGTCGATGTAGTGCTGGTGGTTGTCGTTGTCGATGTATTACTATGGGTAGTAGTGGTCGATGAGGTGGTGGTGGTAGAAGTGGTCGATGTAGTGCTGGTAGTGGTCGATGTAGTGCTGGTAGTGGTCGATGTAGTGCTGGTAGTGGTCGATGTACTTGGAGATGAAGTGCTAGTGATGGTAGTTGTGGGTTCATGGCTGGTTGTGGTAGTGGTTGTCGTTGTGTTGTGTGGTGTCTTGGTACAGCAGACACAACCATGTGTACACGGGGACGAATCAAAATTGTTTCCACATTTAATGGCTGCCATCTCTTTGGGAAAACATTTGGTTGTGCATCTTTTCCTACCATGAATAAAATGGTGTTCGTGACTGTTGACAAAATGACACATTTTATGTGTGGTACTAGTGGTCGAAGTAGTTGTGGTAGTTGTCGAAATAGTACTTGTTTGGTTTGTTGTTGATTTGGTGGTTGTAGTGGTCACAGTAGTGGTCGATGTAGTGCTGGTGGTTGTCGTTGTCGATGTAGTACTAGAGGTAGTAGTGGTCGATGAGGTGCTGGTTGTAGATGTGGTCGATGTAGTGCTGGTAGTGGTCGATGTAGTGCTGGTAGTGGTCGATGTACTGGTAGATGAAGTGCTAGTGATAGTAGTGGTGGGTTCAGGGCTGGTTGTGGTAGTGGTTGTAGTTGTGTTGTGTGGTGTCTTGGTACAGCAGACACAACCATGTGTACACGGGGACGAATCAAAATTGTTTCCACATTTAATGGCTGCCATCTCTTTGGGAAAACATTTGGTTGTGCATCTTTTCCAACCATGAATAAAATGGTGTTCATCACTGTTTATAAAGTGACACGCTTTATGTGTGGTACTAGTAGTCGAGATAGTTGTAGTTGTGGTAGTTGTCGATATAGTACTAGTTGGGGTTGTTGTTGGTATGGTGGTTGTAGTGGTCGATGTAGTGCTGGTGGTTGTCGTTGTCGATGTAGTACTATGGGTAGTAGTGGTCGATGAGGTGGTGGTGGTAGAAGTGGTCGATGTAGTGCTGGTAGTGGTCGATGTAGTGCTGGTAGTGGTCGATGTAGTGCTGGTAGTGGTCGATGTAGTGCTGGTAGTGGTCGATGTAGTGCTGGTAGTGGTCGATGTAGTGCTGGTAGTGGTCGATGTAGTGCTGGTAGTGGTCGATGTACTTGGAGATGAAGTGCTAGTGATGGTAGTTGTGGGTTCATGGCTGGTTGTGGTAGTGGTTGTTGTTGTGTTGTGAGGTGTCTTGGTACAGCAGACACAACCTGGTGTACACGGGGACGTATCGAAATTGTTTCCACATTTAATGGCTGCCATCTCTTTGGGAAAACATTTGGTTGTGCATCTTTTCCGACCATGAGTAATATGGTGTTCATCACTGTTTATAAAGTGACACGCTTTATGTGTGGTACTAGTGATCGAAGTAGTTGTAGTTGTGGTAGTTGTCGAAATAGTACTTGATGGGATTGTTGTTGATATGGTAGTTGTAGTGGTCGCAGTAGTGGTTGATGTAGTGCTGGTGGTTGTCGTTGTCGATGCAGTACTAGGAGTAGTAGTGGTCGACGAGGTGGTGGTGGTAGAAGTGGACGATGTAGTGCTGGTAGTGGTCGATGTACTTGGATATAAAGTGCTTGTAATGGTAGTTGTGGGTTCAGGGCTGGTTGTGGTAGTGGTTGTAGTTGTATTGTGTTGTATCGTGGTACAACAGACACAACCTGGTGTGCACGAGGAGGAATCAAAATTGTTTCCACATTTAATGGCTGCCATCTCTTTGGGAAAACATTTGGTTGTGCATCTTTTCCTACCATGAGTAAAATGGTGTTCATCACTGTTAATAAAGTGACACGCTTTATGTGTGGTACTAGTGGTCGAAGTAGTTGTAGTTGTGGTAGTTGTCGAAATTGTACTTGTTGGGTTTGTTGTTGATATGCTGGTTGTAGTGGTCGATGTAGTGCTGGTGGTTGTCGTTGTCGATGTAGTGCTGGTGGTTGTCGTTGTCGATGTAGTACTATGGGTAGTAGTGGTCGATGAGGTGGTGGTGGTAGAAGTGGTCGATGTAGTGCTGGTAGTGGTCGATGTAGTGCTGGTAGTGGTCGATGTAGTGCTGGTAGTGGTCGATGTACTGGTAGATGAAGTGCTAGTGATGTACTTGGTAGTGTTGGGTTCATGGCTGGTTGTGGTAGTGGTTGTCGTTGTGTTGTGTGGTGTCTTGGTACAGCAGACACAACCATGTGTACACGGGGACGAATCAAAATTGTTTCCACATTTAATGGCTGCCATCTCTTTGGGAAAACATTTGGTTGTGCATCTTTTCCTACCATGAATAAAATGGTGTTCGTGACTGTTTATAAAGTGACACGCTTTATGTGTGGTACTAGTGGTCGAAGTAGTTGTAGTTGTGGTAGTTGTCGAAATAGTACTTATTGGGTTTGTTGTTGATATGGTGGTTGTAGTGGTCACAGTAGTGGTATGTAGTGCTGGTGGTTGTCGTTGTCGATGTAGTACTAGGGGTAGTAGTGGTCGATGAGGTGGTGGTGGTCGTAGAAGTGGTCGATGTAGTGCTGGTAGTGGTCGATGTACTTGGTAGATGAAGTGCTAGTGATAGTAGTGTTGGGTTCAAGGCTGGTTGTGGTAGTGGTTGTAGTTGTGTTGTGTGGTGTCTTGGTACAGCAGACACAACCATGTGTACACGGGGACGAATCAAAATTGTTTCCACATTTAATGGCTGCCATCTCTTTGGGAAAACATTTGGTTGTGCATCTTTTCCTACCATGAATAAAATGGTGTTCATCACTGTTTATAAAGTGACACGCTTTATGTGTGGTACTAGTGGTGGAGATAGTTGTAGTTGTGGTAGTTGTCGAAATAG